ACCCTTTTGTTTCAGTTAGTTCTCTGTTTTTAAATCTTTGAATGTTTTCATACTGGAGCCATATTAATACCTCTGGTGGGTGCTCTAGAGCTCATTTTTTTGATAAGTCTGCTACTGAATAGTTTTCTTGAAATGAAACAAAGTGTTAGTTTTATTTTTGTTGCCTTTTTGTTGCTTGGAATTAGATCATTTGGGGATGTATTTTTCTCAATTTATTATTTTAATGCCAGTTCCACCAGTGGTTCTGATATTGGGGTCCTTTTATGACTATGTAAAAATAATTATTGAGTACTGACTGTATCCAAAGCATTATTCTAAGCACTTTGCATGTATTTTCTCATTTAATCCTAATATCCTTATTGGGTAAGGATTATTATCCTCATTTTATAGTTGAGGAAACAGAAATAAGCAAAGTACTTTACCTAACATAGAGTACTGAGGAAGCCAGAGTTTAAATCTAGAAAGTCTGATTATGGAGCCTGAAATTTTCTGGGGTACACTTAAGGACTGTTCAGACTTTGTGGTTATTGTGGTGTTTCAGCAATCCATCCTTTTTATATACAGTAATGTATAAGTGAAGAAAATATAGCAATACTATCATCTAAAGATTACTGAAATATCTTGAGACAAAGGCAAATAATTTAACAATAATCTAAAAAAATTGAAGGAAGTATAACCATATAGGACATTACTGGGATCACTGACAAAATTTGAATATAGACTGTGAATTAGATAATAATATTCTATCAATGTTAAATTTACTATTTTTGATAATCGTACTTTGGGTTATGTAAGAAAATGATCTTTTTCTTACACACTAAAGTATTTGGAATAAAAGGGGTAACTCCATCTTACTTTCAGTGGTTCAGAAAAAACACTATAAAAATAGAGAGAGAACAGTACAGCAAATGAGCAACATGTAAGTAATTAGTAACTCTGGGTAGAGTCTGTGCAGGAGCTCCCGTACTAGTCTTATAATTTCTGTTTGAAGTTATATCAAAGAAAAGGTACCCAGAATTGAAGGTAGAAAACAGGAAATGAAGGTGTAACATTCTAAGAATTTTTTTTTTTAAGTCAGGCGAAGGATTGTTTCCTGTGCTCTATTTTTTTTTTTTTTTTTTTTTTTTTAAAAAAAGGTAGAAAACAGGAAATGAAGGTGTAACATTCTAAGAATTTTTTTTTTTAAGTCAGGCGAAGGATTGTTTCCTGTGCTCTATTTTTTTTTTTCTTTTTCTTTTTAGGAGTTGGAGGAGGGAACTTGAAATGAACAAAAAATCTTACCAAAAATAGGCTGACTTTCTCAAATTTCATAATCTTAGCCATTCAGAGCTCCCCAACTCGCCAATCTCCAAAAAATCAGGCACAGTATTTTCCTCACCTCTTTAAAGTGGCTGGGAGGAAGGGAATGGATAAAAACATTGATGCCTCCAAGAGATCTAAAGAGTCCACTTTTATTTATTATTATTATTTTTTAGTTTTATTTTATTTTGTCAATATGCAATGTGGTTGACTATTGTGGTCCATTACCGAAACCTCCCTTCCTCCTCCCTCTCTCCCCTCCCTCCCAACAATGTCCTTTCTGTTTGCTTGTTGTATCAACTTCAAGGAATTGTCATTGTTGTGTCTTCTTCCCTCCCACCCCCGCCCCCGTTGTTTGTGTTATTTATTTATTTATTTTTAGCTCCCACAGATAAGTGAGAACATGTGATATTTCTCTTTAAGGCAGCCCACTTTTAGTGATACTGAAAGTTAAATTGGGTTGATTACGTTATCTCCCTGCCTAGACACTCAATGGCATGCTGATATTGACTGGTTTTTATGTCAAAACTCTGTAACCCTCCTCTCATGGCAACCTGGCCCACACCTACCTTTCTGACTTGTCTCATGCCACCCCAGCCCTCCAGCTGCGCGGGATCACGTGACCTTTGTGCATGTTGATCTTCTTCCTGCCTTTGCTGGCTTCACATCCAAGGCACCTCATACTGTTCCTGCTGAAACTCTGTTCATCCTTTAAGTCTCACCATAACCTCCTTTGGGAACCTGTCTCTAATCCCTTGCAGAACTAAATTTTCCATTGTCCATGCCTGATATATCAGTGGGGTAATCACAGTGCTATCTGCTGTTGTTCAGCAATCCTTATTAAGCATATTCTGTGAGCTGGAAACTATGCCAGGGCCTAGGGATTCAAAGGCTCTCACAGTCTGGTAACTAGGAGTGATTTGTAAACAAATAATCATAATGTAAATATATAACAGAGAAGTAGACTGTGAGAGTCTGTGAGAGCTACAAAGCACTGTGAGAGCTGCAAACAATACCTGACAAATTAGTCTTAAAGAAAAGATTATAGTCTTGAAGAAAGCCAAAATGAGATACCATCCCTTCCCCCCACCCTCCAACCAGGGCCCCATTACAAATTGGAGATTTCTGGCACAAGAATCTAATTAAAGGAATAAGTTAACAATTGTAGTACCTGCGGGCTACCCAGATAGATATGTTCAATAGAAAGTTAAAAATACAAGCATAGAACTCATAAGAAAGAGGTTGAGTCTGGGTACATAAATTTGAAAGTAGTCATGTTGATCAGTGATTTTCAGTGTGAGTAGGCAGGAAAGACCAAGAGGCAGATAAGAGTCTCTTAGGAACATGGTACTTTTTCCAAAATACCCATTTGCTTCATTGTCCAAGATTCTGCTCTTCCTTCCGCCTCAGCTTGGGTGACATCCCTGCTGGCTTAAAAAGCATTGTGTGCAATGAGAGATACACCTGTGTGTGAACCTCGGGGAAACAGGAAAGAACCACTAGTGCTTAGGTAGTTACATGCTCTAGTGTGGATAAAACCACCCAGGAAGAGTAGGATGAGGAAAAAAGGATGGGGATGAAACTTCAAAGAGACTAAATTGTACAGGGGGAGTGGA